GTCAAACAGTCGTTCATTCTCAAGATTGCTTATGACCTTCTTGTCAATTTCACAAACGCAAAGACCACATGTGCAGCGGGGTATAGGAGTGATGGTTTGCATCTCTTCCCAAATTGCGCGCAGCTTTGTAAAGAACGTGGAAACTGTGAGCTTTTCTTGCCGCAACGTACTCATCATCTGGCGGAGCTCATAGGCTCTAGGCGCGGAACCCCGACCAAACCTTGCTTCGAGATCGATCCACATCTCTCTCGCCGTTTTGGCGTACCTGATCGAGCTCCGCACTTCTTTGTCCATAGCCGTCTTCAACCAGCCCTTGACGAGGGCGTCACACTGAAGCCATGCTTCTCGTAGCTCCCCCGCATCTTCAGGTTTGGCAATGGTTCCATCAACGATCCCTAATTTGTTTTTTGCAATTAGGGCTTCAGTCATATCTGTGATCCACTCTCCATAATTGGATTCATTCAGCAACTCGCCTACGAACAACTGGCCGGGATTGTCGGACGCTTGAATCCTCAAGGCAGCTGGTATGATCGGAGGTAGATTGTTTCCTCCACTGCCGCCGCTAACTAGGGTTCTGTCACCCATAACTAAAGCTTGGTTTAGTAAACCAGCTCTGATACCATGAAATAATCGTAAACGCGATTAACAAACACACGACACGAGATTTACGTGGTTCTTCTCATTCGGTGTGAATGAGCTTACTCCACGGAGAAGTTTTGATATCTCAGCTTTTTACTTACTTAGCGGCAGCCGGTTACAAGTTACATATATATATCCCAGCACACAATCAACTAGGGTTATAATAAACACACTCGGCTAAGCTAAGGGAAAAGACAATTAAACCCTTAACCCTGGCCGACTACACACTAAGCAGTATATACGTCCGTTACAGCCCGAGAAACTGTGAACCCGAACTCCAAATGTGCGTCGGTGAACTTAGTGTACCAGTTCCGGGAAGCCTGTCGAAGCCCATATAGTGATTTGCGTAACCGGCAAACACGATGATCACCAGCCTGAGCAAACCCTTGAGGTACTTTCATATAAACTTCCTCATCCAGGTCGCCGTGCAGAAAGGCGTTGTTTACATCAAGCTGGTGCAGAGGCCATCCCTGCTTGGCGGCAACAGCCAGGAGAACTCGAACCGTGACTAGATTTGCAACAGGTGCAAAGGTATCGTGAAAATCGATCCCTTCAAGCTGTGTAAACCCTTTGGCGACGAGTCGCGCCTTATAACGATCGACTGTCCCATCCGGCTTGAATTTAATCTTATACACCCACTTGTAGTCAATGGCGCGCTTCCCGGGCGGCAACATCTCCAACGTCCAGGTGCCCTGTGCCTGTAGAGCCTCGATCTCCTTCCGCATTGCTTCTCGCCAATGTTCATACTGTAGCGCTTGAGCATATGTGCGAGGCTCAAACAAGTAATCCACAGCAGCAAGAAAAGCAGTATGAGAAGGAGAAAACCGATGGTAATGAACATGATTAGATATAGGGAATTGAACATGATGTGAGCCGGGGTCTACCTCGTAAATGCCAAGTGACCCAGGAGGACGCCGATCACGTGTGGGGTTGCGCCGAGGTGCTGGGGGCGCAACAAGCTCCGAGGAAGTGCTTGCTAGCGCATCATCCAGGGAGGCAGGAGCATCGGCCATGCACGGATTCGGGGAGGTAGAGAGAGGCGAATCTTCGAGTCCAGGCTGGGTAGGCGAAATGGAAACGTCTTCAGTGGCATGACCAGGTGACCCCACGGAATCCAAGTCCTCCTCATCAGCTGGCAGGGCATCGCACACGAGAGGAGAAGCATCTTCATGCAGAGGGACGTGCATGGCAGGAAGTGACATGGTGGAGAGAGGTGAGGTGGTACTTGTTTGCTTAAGTTTATATGGAAAAACACTTTCCACAAACTGCACATCTCGAGATACTAGAATTTTATGTGTACGTAGATCATAAATTCTATATCCTCGTTGAGTTCCTGGATAACCAAGAAAGATACCTGCTCTTCCCCTTTCTGCAAATTTGTCAAGTCCATGGTGAGTATCCTTTGCGTAAGCGAGGCACCCAAAAGAACGCATGTGCTAATAAGACGGTCGTTTGCCAAGGAGAACCTCGAACGGTGTCTTGCCAGCTAAAACAGAAGAAGGTAATCGATTGATCAGGTAGGTGGCGGTGAGCACACAATCGCCCCAAAATTTCACTGGCAACCCTGCATGGAACATGAGAGCTCGAGCAGTTTCTAAGAGATGTCGGTGCTTACGTTCTGCAACTCCATTCTGTTGTGGAGTATCCGTGCACGAAGTCTGAAGTACCATACCATTCTCCTCATAATATTCCCGAAGAGACAAAGTCTGGAATTCGGGACCGTTATCTGCTTGAATCCTGCGCACAGGGCGGCCAAACTGAGTTCGAGCCAACTCACAATGTAGTTTGATATATCGCTCTACATCAGACTTATACTTCATTAAATAAACCCAAGTAGAACGACTATAATCGTCAACAATAGTAAGAAAATAACGGGAACCATCCAAAGCTGGCGTACTATATGTGCCCCAAATATCCATGTGAAGCAATTCAAAACTGCCACCAGTTTTTATTGTGCTCAAAGTAAACGGAAGTCTAGTCTGTTTAGCCCTCAAACAGGAATCACAGGGCAAAGGATCCCGAGTAGAAACCGTGCAATCCAAATAATTTCGTAAACTAGCCAGTTTATCCAAGGAAGGATGACCGAGGCGAGTGTGCCACAAGGCTGAGGACTCCTCAAGTCGCGTTGCCTTGTTCGCTTGACGTTGCACAGTCATACCAAGCCGAGGAAGGTAATAGAATCCATCCCTAAGCCGTCCCACTCCAATCAGCGTCTTGGAAGGTAAGACCTGAAGTGTGCAAAAATCATGCAAAAACGTTACCACCACATTGTGATCCTGTGCTAACCGACTCACTGACAACAGGTTGCACTTGAAAGCAAGGACGTGTAAGACCCTGTCCAGCCGAATAGATTCACTAAATTCAACCGAACCCATAGCCATGACGGGAATACCAGAACCATCCGGTATACGAACTTGAGACTGTCCATGTACTGAATCAATTGTATCTAACCAACCAATGTCACGAACTATGTGTTCGTTACAACCTGAATCTATCAACCACATGTCGGGATCAGAATGATTACCAGCCATATGTGTCGTGGGTGCGGACGAGGACTCCATAGAGCTAAAGGTCAAGAACTCCTTAAGCTGTGCGAACTGTGCCGCAGTGAGACCAGGAATGGGAGAGCCCTCGTCTGGTTCGACGTGCGCGGCTTTAGGACGTCGAGGAGCAGCACGGGGATCATCATTGGGCTTTGCTCGAGGGTGTCCAGGAGGGTACCCATTTAATTTGTAGCAAGTGTCTCTAGTATGCCCTTGCCTATTACAATGAGTACACCTCGGTTTGTCATTGTCAACTCTAGGCTCTCGATCGGCAAGAATTTGGAAGGCAGCTGTGTCCACAGGAGGGCGACGGGTGATGGCAATGTTACGATGCTGCTCCTCGGCGGCCACCATCTGATACGCATCGGCCAAGGAGGGTGTCGGTTTCGTGCCGAGAATTTGCGAGCGGATGACGGAATACACGTCATCAAGCCCCATGAGAAATTCAAATAGGCGTTCTGTATCTTGCTTGGCCTGATACTCACGGATCCAATCACACGAGCAACCTCCACAAGTGCAGCCGGCGCAGGTGAAACGCGGCACTCCCCCTATCGCCTGCATCTCATCCCACGTGGAGCGGAGCTTGGTGTAGAACGCCGAAACCGTTAGCTTCTCCTGGCGAAGAGAACTCAGACCACGCCTCAGCTCGTACGCCCGCTGCGCGGAACCTCGACTAAAACGGCGCTGCAAGTCGGCCCAAATAACGCGAGCTGTCCCCGCCGTCCGAACACTGTTACGCACTTCCTTCGTCATAGCCGTCTTCAACCATCCCTTCACAGTCGCATCACACCTATCCCAAGCATCCTGCCGAAAAACCGAGCCGGCCTTGGCGCGAGGAAGGGATCCATCAACGAAAGCCAATTTATTCTTGGCGATTAGGGTTTCTGTAATGTCATTAACCCATTCCCCGTAGTTCGAATCATTCAGCAAATCTCCGCCAAATAATTGCGCGGGATTCTCCGAAGGGTGCAAATAGAGAGGAGAGCTGATCGGGATCACGTCGTCTGCCGTGACAACTGTCTTACCGCCGCTACTGTCCTCGTCCCCCGTGCCCATGATGAATACGTGAGATTAGTTTGAATCCTTACAGCTCTGATACCATGAAAAGTTTGATAATGCGGAAAATAGAAGAACACGATGATTTACGTGGTTTCCCCGAAGATCGGGACTAGTCCACGGAGAGCATAGCTCTCAGTATGGGTTTCACTAGGTTTAGCTCAAAAGAACGGAAAGATGTCGCTCAACCACTCTAGGGTTTGAGCTCGACAGTAAGCAAGCCTAAATACCCTTCCACAGACACACGGGTATAAGGCAAAAGTCCAACACAGCACCAACAAAAATAAATATGTACACAATGGTCCAGTCCACGTCATTAATATGAATCAATATTCTGTCGTCCCACAACATAAAGAGTGCGTATAATTACTTTGAACATGATGAGCCGTAATGTTAGGAATTAAATAACAATGAAATCCAAACTTACAAATACACGCTTAACTGGCTATAGTTAATTAGGTACTTGTATGATTATAGGTTTGGCCAAGACCCTGCCACACCAATCAAGATGCAACCAAAATAAAATAGGGTGAAATTTTACATACTAAGTACACTCTTTTGTAATTAAGAAGGATTTTTGAGAACCACTTCCTAAAGTTTCCATGTGCTATCACAATTCACCAATACATAGACACTCTATGTGTAGGTAAGTTCTTGGTAGCACACCTTCAAACTCAGATATAAATTGATGAGTCGATTTTGAGACAAACAAGAGCTAAGATTTTGATAAACAAACGAAATTCAAACTCGATCCATTTATTAACGCTCAACATGACTCAACAAATCGACTCTAAAAAAATCAAGCTGGATCCATTTCTTAGCAAATCGTGATCGAGCTAGGAAAAACACAACATGACTCGGACTTATTTACAGCCTCTACACTTTTCTTTTCCACAAAAAGCCCATGAACTATGATGGGGTAAAAGGCCGATAGCGCCAACATGAGCCCAGATATTGAGAACCACTAACAGGGCCCAGGGGCCTATTCTAACTCGTTCGGCAAGAAGCCCAGTCGATATTAATTGAAATCCTCGCACGCTCTATGAGATTCTTCTCGAGCGAAAACGGAACCGTCAATCAACAGACGGCCTAGATGGATCCACCACCACCGCCGTCTCCCTTCCTCCTCCTCCTCTTCTTCTTTCTTCTCCTCCTCTCCCCGGCCACCGTTACACCAGCTTTCTCCTTCCCATCATCCTACACTTCTTACAAAACCGCCGTCTCGCTGTCCCACTCCCTCCTCAGCCGCGTGTCCAACCTACGCGCCGCCCGAGGCGACGTCTCCGGCGCGAACCGGGCCAGGCTGATGGCGGAGAAGCTGGAGCGTGGACTTGAATCGGGAGTCTGGGGGTTCGCGTGGTCAGTTGGGTGGGACTATGTGAGCAACTACGCGTGGAGGGATTTGGAGTACAGGGAGCTGCTGGGCGCCATTTCGGATCTGACGGACTTGATTTCGGTTCTGGGCGGGCTGACCTCGGCCAGATCGGACGCGGAGAGAGTGGCTTGGGCGGCGCAAAATTACGGCAACTTGGCGAAGACTGCGAAATCGGCGCTGCGGAGGATGTTGAACACTTTCAACAAGAAGGTACCCAAAAAAATAAAAAAACTTTGATTTCCCCAATTTTCCCAGGTTTGATTGATGAAATCGGTTTGTCTTGAAGTCTGATTTGTTGGGTCGGGTCGGGTGTGGCAGGGAGCGTTGAAGGAAGCGTTGGAGACGGTGCAGAAGGAGGTGGTGCAGGGTGGATTGCTGAGGGACTGTGTTGAAGTTGGGAGCAACGATTTGCGAGGACTGATGGAGATTCTCAAGGATTGGGCTTCCCGATTGTATTTTTCTCCGGGTGACGCCGGTGACTGGGAACTTTGATCAGACTACCGCCGGCCGTCATTACCTTTGTCACAAAATCCGTAATTGGGGTTTCTTTTCATAATTCATACACGTCTCGAATTCGAATACCAGCCCTCTACTATGGTTGAATTGGTTAATTTTTTTTTTTTTTTTTTTTTTGTATAATTAGCAGAGGCGGGGGTCTTGAGATGATGTCAGGTTGTTAGTCACTATTGGTTAATTGTTTTGTACTCATCGTTAATAGCACGGTTTATAACCATTAAGCAAGTGATTCCACAACCCAACCACAACCCAACTAATTTTTTTTTTTGGTGAGAAATAGGACGCAAAGGGGCGCCCTAACCCTTAACCATTAACTAAGCGCGGGGTTTGAATCCCCAAAATGTCAAAATACAACCAGTGGCCCAACGTGGAACTCGGGTTCTCGAAGATATGTATCCCTGGCGACATGGCATGGCCAACAGAGGCAAGGTAGTCCGCAACTACGTTGCCCTCCCTGAAAATGTGGCTTATTTGCACCTCCCACTCCCTAGCCAACAAAGCACGAACAGCACAAACTTGAACATAATGTGGGTGACCTGAATTTGCTTCCTGAATCAATTGTACCGCCAGTGAAGAATCCGTCTGAACCAAAACTTTCCGGCAACCTTCGTCCCAGGCGAGCTGCAAACCAATGGCAATCCCTGCAATTTCCGCATGTGTAATAGACCCACTGACCAAGTTCACCGAGAAGGCCTTCACAAAGCGCCCTTCATCATTTCTTATCACTCCTCCCGCCGCCGTACTCGTCTGTCCTCCGGTCACCGACCCATCAGTGTTTAGGCAGAACCAGCCCCTCGGCGGCCTCTTCCAACTGATCTGCTCCATGTTGCGAGTTCGACCCGCACCCAGGACCTTCCTCGCCGAAGCCTCTGCCTGCACAATTTGACTTCGCAGAGCAAGGATTTGGCTTAAAAGCTGCTGGGTAGAGGCCAGCTTTTCTTCAAAGACCCAACTGTTCCTGTTTCTCCAAAGACTCCAGCATATAACAGCGAACAAGGAGGGATCAATGTTCTTGCTCTTACCCGATAAGTAGTGCAACACCCAGCGGTCTATATTAGTGTTGAAGAACATCGCATCCGGATCATCACCAAGGACTTCCGCCCAGCAGGCCCGAGCATAGGGACACTCGCGGAGAACGTGGCTGGTTGTTTCTGGTCCATCTCCACAAATAGTGCAGCCATCCGCAGCAGCCAGATGTCGTCGGCGCCTTTCCGCATTAGTCAGCAACTTGTTGTGAAGAACAAGCCAGAGGAAAGGCTTCAAACGCTGGGGTCCATCAACTCTCCAGGCCGCCTTCCAAGCAGGGTGGTACGAGCTCCCCCCGGCGCTGTCAACAGTCAGATCATACGCGGACGAAACCGTGAATCGTCCCGAGGGCGAGAGCCTCCAGTAAGGCGTGTCCGCTGCTTCTCCATGGGGTATCGGGTGGAGGTTGAGCTGCATGACAACCGCTTCTGGGAGGAACAGCCGGGCATAGTCGAGATTCCACCTCCCATTCAACACCATCTCTGCAACCCTGATACCAGCCGCTTCCGGCGGAATGTTCACGGCCAGCTCCCCCAAGGGTGGGCCATCTTGGAGCCAAACATCTTCCCAAAATCTCGTTCCCATCCCATTCTGCACATTCCACATAACCCCTCTTGGTAGCAGGTGGAGAATACGTAGAACACCCCGCCAAAGGTTCGACATTCTGCCTGTAGTCCGCGGTACCCAGCCTCCTTCTGTTCGGCGCAAATACTTTGCATTAATTACTCTAGCCCACAGGCTGTCTGGCTCAGTCAAAAGTCTCCATGCGATCTTCATCATAAAAGCCTCGTTCATCCGGGTGGCGTTCCGAAGTCCTAGACCCCCTTCCGTCTTCGGCCTGCACACTGTTTCCCAGTCCACCAGGTGAATCTTCCTTCCCTGCTCTGAACTTCCCCACACAAATCCCCGGATCTTCTTATCAATATAGTCTCGAACAGCAGCTGGCAGGAATGAAGTCTGCATCGTATAAGCTGGCAACGATCCCAGGACCGATTGAGCTAGGGTGATTCGCGCAGCTAGTGACAGGGTAGCGACCTTCCAACCAGCCAGCCTCGCATCAATTCTGTCAATGAGATCAGTGAAGGTCGCCTTTGACACACGATCGTGGATTACTGGAACCCCCAAATACCTGCCCAGGTTCGAAGTCTGCGGGATCCCCAGCGCATCACTCAAACGCTTGCAATCAGAGGCCCTCATGTTCTGGGAGAAGAAAATTCTCGACTTCGGTTTGCTAACTTGCTGTCCCGAAGCCCCGCCGAATTCCTCCAAGCACGTCGACACCACCTGAACCTGCTGTTCATTAGCTACACCAAACAGGATAAGATCGTCAGCGAAAAAAAGGTGCGACAAAGGGGGTCCCCCTTGTGAAATCCTTATAGTCTTCCAACTGCCCCCCTCCACATGCGAGCTAATTAGATGACCCAAGCGCTCCATGCAAAGCGTGAACAGATACGGTGATAATGGGCACCCCTGCCGGAGACCTCTCGACGGGGAAAACTCTTCTGTCAGGCCTCCGTTCCACTGGATTTGCATAGAAGCTGTTGTAACACAGCTCATCGTGAGGTCTATAAACTTTGCCGGAGCGCCCGTTGCTTCAAGTGTATCCCTCACGAAACTCCACTTGATTCGATCGTAGGCCTTGCCCAGGTCGATCTTTAGCACCATCCAGCCTGTCTTCCCTTTCTTCGCTCGCATCGAATGTATGACTTCCTGCAAAACACAAATATTGTCAGTAATGTGCCTCCCAGGCACGAAACTCGTCTGAGTTTCATGCACTAGAGTAGGCATAACCGGCTTCAGTTTCTCCGCAAGACATTTTGTTATCATCTTGTACGTCACGTTGCAGAGGCTGATAGGTCGGAAGTGCTCGATCAAGGTAGGCCGCTGCAGTTTAGGAACCAGAGCGAGAATCGTGGCGTTGATTTTCTTCACTTCCGCCGGTTCTTGCCAACATTTCTGCGCAAAGTCTACTACCTCCTTCCCCACTAGATCCCAGCATCTTTGGTAGAACAAGGGATTCAACCCATCCTTGCCCGGGGCTTTTAAACCTCCCATGGCCTTGACCGCACCGTGCAGCTCGTCTTCCGTGAACTGGGTATTCGCAGCCAGCCACATATGGCTTGGTACGGTTGGGAATGCTCCTTCAATCGAGCTAGTCTGCACTCCATCATCAGTGTACAGGTTAGTGAAAAAAAGTCGAGCCATCTCAAGGAGGATAGCAGGATCGTCGACCCATTGGCCCTCACTGTCCTTCAGAACTGTGACTCTGTTCCTCCGGCGACGTTTCATAACTCGGGAGTGGAAAAATTTTGTGTTTTTGTCCCCCGAGTTAATCCACTCCAGGTTTGCCTTCTGACACCAGAGTAGCTCTTCTTGTACGAGGACTTCCTCCAACTCATCTCTTGCTTGCTTCAGCTCCACACACTCATCATCATTCCCTGAACGCGATTCCAGGCGCTCGATCTTTGCTAACAGCCGGTTCTTCTTCTGAATAATATGGCCGAAGGTACAAGTGTTCCACTCTTTTGCCTCGGCTGCAAACTCCTTGATAGCACTCAGCAGATCAGAGCCTCGCCTCCAAGCTCGCTCGGCCATGGTCTTGAAATCATCGTGCAACAGCCATGCAGCTATGAACTTAAACGGTTTTTGCCCGGCAGGTTGGAATTTCGGGTTCAGACAGATCAATAGGGGCCTATGATCACTTTTCATCTTGGGCAAGTGGCGAACCACCGTATCAGGGAACAACGAGGCCCATGTCAAATTAACAAGACCCCGGTCAAGCCTCTCCTTAACCCCCGAGCGGAACCAAGTGAACGAAGGACCCATGAAGCCCAAATCAATCAACTGGGCATCAAGCACACAATCTTGAAAGTCTCGTGCTCTGCTAGCGTCGAATGGGGCACCCCCCAGCTTATCTGACGGCTGCAGGATCGAGTTAAAATCACCCGCCAAGAGCCAGGGATCATTCATTCCATTCGCGATACCTCGGATAGACTGCCAAAGAGAACGCCTCTGGACCAGGGCCGGATCTGCATAGACAGCAGTTAAAAACCAATTATCTCGCCCACTTAAAACCTGAACATGCAACAGCTGGTCCGATCGATCTGCCTCCGTGACCGTTACCAGCGAAGTGTCCCAGGCAAGCCATATTCCCCTTGCAAAGCCCACAGCTTCAACAACCAACCACTTATCATAACCCATGTTCTTCCGGACCTTCTCAGCCTTATCGCCACTAATACGCGGTTCGACTATGATAGCCATACAAGGTCTATACCTCCTCTTGTATTCTCTAAAGACTCGCAGAAAACGTTTTCCTCCCGCTCCCCTACAGTTCCAGGTAAAAATGTTAAGCAACATCTAAAAATGGAAGATAGGCGGCCCCAGTGGGAAACACAGTTCACGTGTGCATGGGAGAATCCCCACATGCAGGGCTCCCTTGCAACACTTGAGGTGGCACTTGTATTTTATCTCGGTGGGCGCTCCTCGGTTCCTTAGCAAAGGTACTTGCTTCGAAGACCTGCTCATCCGGTGGTCTCGTCGAATTTTTCCGTGACCCATCACTAGCTTGTTGTCTCGCATTGATCGCTGCAGTGTCCGTGATCAGAGTGTCCACCGTCGCCTCGCTCCCAGTGGTCATGGCGGCCTTGCCCGAGACTAATGATCTAGGAGAGGAATAGTCAGTGTTCCCACTTTGGGACGGGACACCCTTGACGACGGAGGGCAGTGGAGCTTGCTGCACAATTTTTTCACTTCTTTGGGGCTGGTCACGAACCACATCCGGGGACTTCTCTTTCTGTCTCAAATTCTTCTCCTTCGCCGCTCTTCTAGTAAACGAACCTGCTACATTCTCATTCGGTGCCACCTTCTCCAGACCCGAAGTCTGGTTTGCTTGCTCCTCCGCTGACTCATCCACGTTCAACACATCATAGCGCGAACCATTATTGACCAGTACATTCATCTGTGGATTCCCGTTTTTAGTTGCATTAAGGCCGACCGCTTCTCTTTTCACCCTCGGTTTTCTCTTAGCCACCATCCACTCACCATACGTACCCCTTGGTGCCTCCTGATGCGTTGCCCTCGAGTCTGGCACCTCAGAATGGGACTCACGCTGTGAATGGCCCTCTGCGTCCATCGGCTCCTGCATGGGGACGCAGGAGCATTTTCCCCTAGACTTGTACGTGCCACAATCCAAACAAA